AGGGCTTAACAACTAATTTACACTCTCCTAAACACTTAATATCTGATTTATACTTTTACTGTAGCAGTTTTAATTCAAACCGAAAACTTGATGAATTTAAGTATAATTTTTTTTCTCAAAAGTAAAAGTTCGGTGTTATAGTGATATCCATTATCGTATCTTACCCGCACAAAGCACTAGCAAACTTATATTAACTCATTCTGGTAACAGGCCTCATAAAAGATACTTGGGATCTGTACATACAGAAAAAAAATTAAAGTTTCTCGAAGCTATCTCAAGGTTTTTTAGCAAGGTTCGCTGTAGAAACACGTTCTCAGAGGCCCAGCTAGTTTTATTTTGATGTGGATTTTTAACCGACCACCCCCTCGCACTGAACACGGCGTTTATGTAGGTTATACATGTAGTACTGAATGCAGCATCCGTATCTCACCGGTCTTGTTGATTTACTTTACAATCTTAATCTAAGGTCACGTCTTATCACATCGACACGAGCACTCTGACTAGAATATGTGAGCTCACGGTGTTAAGACATTTTGCCTGTTGCAATCAGAAAAACCTCACGACCAGAGGGTGACGGCAGTATCGTATATTGGGATAAATGCGCTTTTTTGTGCGCCTAGCAAATTTTAGAGTAACCATTGTTTTAGTTTTAATAATCAACACTTGCTGAACAGTTTCCCATGTCAACAGCAAAATGAATTTCGATGAATTTCTCAAGATACTTGGCGAGTTCGGTACGTACCAACAACGCAGATATGCTTTGATGTGCATGATAGCTTTCTACTCAGTATTATCCACATTGGGCATAGTATTTTACGGCGCCGAACCAGAACACCATTGTAAAATACCTGCGGCACAGGTAGAACGCGTGACTACGCTGTACGGAAACGTTACACGGGAAGAGCTCTTAGATCTGTTTGTACCGTACACAAAGGAAGGAAAGCGCAGTGGTTGTAAACTGTATCGCGTTGACGAAAAGTACCTGAATTCTACGCTTCCCACATTACCCAGTAGCAGTTTCCCAAATGGAAGAATGGTAACATTTAATGATTCAGTTGAAACTGACATCCACATCCTCTGGAATCAAACTGTTGAAGGGAAGAGGGAAACTATTAACTGCCCTGGACAAAGAGTATACAGCAAGGACATCTATGAATCTACCATTGTTTCTGAGGTAAAAAAAAAACTGTGCTAGCACCGTGTTTGTTGTTGATCTAGATTTGCAAAAGGCCGCTCAAGAATAAGTGATGCTTTTAAGTGCATGTTGATCAACGTTACGACATCTTTTAGAATCGATTAGGCTTATTTTGTGATGTGATGCAGACCAATGAGACTCATCATCACGGCTATTGATCTGTCATATAATTTTTCAGTTTGATCTTGCGTGTGAGAACGCATGGCAAACCGACACCTGCAGTTCGGTTTTCTACGTCTTTAAACTGCTGGCAATGCTGGTGACGGGAATCCTGTCAGACAGGTGACGGTTCTGAGTGGCGAATCTGTTATTTATACAAAGATAAGTGGTGATGATGATGATGATGTTAAACATAGATTCGGGGGCTTAATGGTGTCAGATGTCAGATGTGTAGGTTTATGTCAATTTGGTCTTTTCCTTCATTCACGCCGTTTCACATAGAATGAAGACACACACACACATAATCAACTGAAGTTTATCACAGCCATAGGAAAGAGAGAATGTTATGCAGTATGTCAATTGACTCGCATCTAATAAGAGACAGTAAATGACCACTTGCTAATCAATAAAAGAAGAATGATTTTTTAATTATCTCTTTTCTTTATTGCACAGATTCGGACGTCGTCCTGTATTCCTGATTGGCATTATAACACTGGTGGCGTCGGGGATTTCATCGGCGTTTGCTCCGAATATGTCGGCGTTTTGTGTCCTTTACGTCATCCAGGGCGCCAGTGACTCGACCATGTTTTTGGCGCTATATACAATGGGTAAGAGTTGAAATCACGTAGAAGTAACTGATCCAATTATTACATATCCCTCTAATGCTGTTTTCCATTTTAGAAGTCGAACTTTATCCCTTTCAATTTGTTGTAGGAATGGAGTATGTCGGTCCAAGTAAGAGAAAAATCGCTGGCGTTTTTATGGATATGTGTTTTGGTTTAGGGCACGCTCCTCTCGCCATTGAGGCTTATTTACTTTCCAACTGGCGATATTTAGCTCTGGTGGCGAGCTCACCCGGTGTTATTTTTATTTTTTCCTGGTTGTAGGTATACTTTCTTTTATAAAACGTTAAATTTGCTGACAGCTAGATCCAATGACTATCCAATGACTATTAAGTATGACCATTTACAGTATGGGTATTAACTTTAAAAGACAACTCCTGGGATGAGACGTAGGAACAATTAGAACGTAACCTTTTTTTTTTTTTTTGAATATATTATCTACATGCATATTACAGACTTAATGTCAAATTGATTTATGTCTACTTTTCATTTTGCATTTGCTATTTGAAAATAGTTTTCAAGATAATTTTAAATATGCAAGTATCGGATAAATATATTTCTAACATGTCTTGATAGCTTTCTCTCAGAACCAACGCGGTGGTTACTAGCACGTGGCAGGCACGAGGAGGCGAAGAAGATCATTACCAAAGTTGCCGTAGTTAACAAGGTTAAGCTTGAAGAGGACACATTGGAGCGTCTTTTCACAGAAGGAGACGAGGAAAAGCAGACATCCACGCACACTCCTATTGACGTGTTGAGAACTTGGAATCGAGCTAAATTTTCTTTAATAATGATCACATGCAGGTGGAGTAAATATATCTACCGTAAATTTAATTTGAACCGTTAAAAATAATATTAATTTTTTTGAAAGATAGGATAAGCGGTTCTGATATTGATAAATCGAGGTACATTATCGGTCATATGTTGGCCACCATTTTAAATGCTTCTCTAGAAATTGCAAAATATGCTTCGTAGGATTTGATCTATCATTCATCAGATATCTTAAAATTTGCTTCTTGAATTTTTTCCTCCCCGATCGTATCTGGATGACATCTACAAATCCTTAAGCCAGCTTTTGTAAAATATATTTTAGGTTTATCCTCGACATGACTTACTATGGAATTGTACTTCATTCAGAAGGGCTTGGTGGCAACATATACATTAATTTTGCCTTACTGGGAGCTGCAGATGTTCCAGGGCTGTTGGTAGCCGTGTTTATTGTAGATAGAGTTGGTCGCCGGAGTATAATTGTTGTGACGTTCTGCATCGGTGGAATTGCCTGTATTGTGTCAGGCCTGCTTCCTACAGGTAGGCCTATAGGACTGAGTTGTTATCTCAATAGGAACACGTGTAGTGTGTGTCGCACATTATTCATTACCAAGTCTGTATTCTGATCCCCCATATTTAATGCAACTATCCTCGTACTTAAAAATGGTTCCGTAAATTGATGTCCATCGTACACTTTCAGATTTACAGTGGCTGATAATAACAATGGCGGTAATAGGGAAGATGATGGTTTGTGTTACGGGAAGTGTAACGTTAATGTTAACAGCTGAGGTTTATCCCACTGTGGTAAGGTAAGTGACGAGATCGTTGATCATGATGTGGCGATTATATCCATTCCAATGATTTAATTTGTTATAAAAAGTTATGTTGAAATTTACAGTCGGGCTGTAAAACGAAAAGTATATTTTAATATAAAATATATTTTTTAAAATTAAAATTTTATTTAAGATATGAATCCAAGCACACACCGTGAAATGCAAACTGTTCTACACAAAAACTGAATTAGTATTTAACAAGCGTCCTTTACATAGGTTCACATCTTACTTATTATTCCTTTTCCAAAGGCACGTGATGAAGTCCCATCTGTTTACTTGGTCAGCTTACAAATATTAGGTGTACTCCGGATATGTTTTAAATTTTAATCTCTTTTTTTTTTCACAGGCAGTCTGGAATCTCCCTCACTGTGTCCGTGGGCAGATTGGGTGCCGCTGTGGCGCCACAAGTCCTAGCCCTTGGCCGGATATATTCGCCTTTGCCATTCATCATTTTGGGGTCCCTTGCTGTTGGCAGCGGCTTGTTGGCCTTATTACTACCCGAAACTCTTGGGAAGTCGCTCCCACAGACTATAGAGGAATGGGATGCCAGACTTAATCATGGCAGGTAACTATATATTTATGGTGGTGCGGGGCCTGGACATATCTGAAATTCCCTTTAACCCCTTTTAATTTTTACCGCTTGGGGACGAATTTTCGTCCAATATTACCCTAAATAGTTGGGTCTTTGACAAATCTTGATGGGCAACACCAAAATCATACACCATTGTTAATGAACTTAAAATATTTCAGCCTTTTTCTTTTGATACATATACTTGTGTTACATATACTGGGGTGTTTTTTATAGGTCACACTTCAACCTTAGGCTGATGAACAGATTTTGACCAATGGCCGTTTACGATAAGTCGGACCAAAAGACATATTTGTTTTGATTGTTCTTTTCTTTCCTTTTCTAGCCTTAAGTTTACTGTGGACCACGAGAGCGTTGACCGTCAAACTGGTGAAGAGTTGAAAGACCTAAGCAATGACAGTGTTGATGTTGACAGTAAACGTGCCGATGGAGCTGAGGGCTTGGAACTCGGAGCCCGTAATGTGACAAATATTTAGCCCATCACCCCATCTCTTCATGTATTACAACCGTTGTCAATAGTCATGTTTGGCTAACTAAAATAGTCTGGTAATCGGTGTACTGAGACTGAGATTAGTCAATGTTTACGTATCTAGTTCTTTTTAGATATTACTTTGCTTAATTTTAAAAGTATAATTCTTATTGGTTAGCTTAAAATTAACGTGTATTTCAGTTTGGTTCAAGGCATTTGGGCAATTTGTACTGTCAAGAATATATTTTAACAAGTACGTCGTACACAAGTATTATTTTATATATATATATATATATATATATATTATATATATATATATATATATATATATTTTTTTTTTTTTTTGGCGTTTATTGACCATGAAAATGACATGTTCCCTGCGAAGGAATAGCCTTACTTAAAATCATGTCAAATAGACCGAATTTCTAATACACTGAAACTCAATAAAATGTTTTATGTGTTTTAAACTTCTAGCAACGTCTGTAGTAATTTGTAAAGATATTGACTACGATCAGCATTTTTATTGTAGTTCACTTCATCTGGATGGATCTGTCATAGTTAGGTGTGAAATGATCAAATAATCACTAGCTTAAAATTCGCGAGCTGATCTGAGCTAAAATTACTATCTCGAGTCACGTTTTACTTTATACTTTTTACACCTTAAGATCAATTCTCGCCACCTCAATGTATAACTCTCTTAACCTGAGTCAGTTTACATTCATTTAACTCATTTGTTCTCCGTCACTACTTTATGTGATCAAAGAGTAAAAAGCATCTCCAGTTGCTGTTTTGTATGTAATTCGTTCACTGGACCACTTCACTGCCTAATGCATTGTGACCACGTGCCTAACGCATTGCTCTTCTGTTAATCTAACAGTGGTATCTGCAACAAGTTTTTTTTTTTTTTTTTTT